TTCTAGATTCTTTTTTAGTCATGTGTTTATTTATTTTTATTTATTTATTTATTTATTTATTTGGTACAGGGTCTCACTACACAGCTCAAACTCATTGTGATTCTCCTCTCAGCCTCCCCGGTGCTGGGACTGATTTGCACAATCAAGCCCTGCTTCAGTGGCTTGCTTGGCACAGGACCCGCATGACATGCATTAGCAGAGATCAAACTTGGGTCCTTGCACTCACCAGGTAGGCGCTTAAACCACCGAGCTACCCCCTAGATTCAAGTAACTCTATCAGTATAAATTTTTATATAATCCATCTCTCCTTCAAAAATATTCTTTACCTCTCATATTTATCTAAATATGTAAGCAACATATTAATTTTATACTCAATAAACATCCCCAGGGCAGGGGCGGGGCCAGAGGCAGGCTCCTCTGGCAGGGCTGGGGCGGGGCAGCTTCCCAAGTTCGCCAAGTGGTGAGGAGTCGGGAAAAGCACTTCCTGGCCTGAGCCAGCGCCGGCCTCCCCTCCGCTGCAGTCCCCCGGGTCTGCCCTCCCTCCCTGTCCAGCCCGGGTCACCATGGCCAAGGCTTACGACCACCTCTTCAAACTGCTGCTTATCGGGGATTCGGGGGTGGGCAAGACGTGTCTGATCATTCCCTTTGCGGAGGACAACTTCAACAGCACGTACATCTCCACCACCGAAATTGATTTTAAGATCCGCACCGTGGACATAGAGGGGAAGAAGATCAAACTGCAAGTCTCGGACATGGCAGGCCAGGAGCGATTCAAGACGATAACCACTGCCTACTACCGTGGAGCCAAAGGCATCATCCTGATCTATGACATTACGGATGAGAAATCCTTTGAGAATATTCAGACCCGGATGAAGAGCATCAGAGATAATGCCTGGCCTGGGATGGAGCGCCTCCTGCTGGGCAACAAGTGTGACATGGAAGCCAAGAGAAAGGTGCAGAAGGAGCAGGCAGACAAGCTGGCTTGAGAGCACGGAATCTGGTTTTTCGAGACAAGCGCCAAATCCAGCACAAATGTGGATGAGGCTTTCAGTTCCCTGGCCCGGGACATCTTGCTCAAGTGGGGGACCTGGAGATTAGGAGATGGCAGCAAGGTCTCTAGTGGCGCCCTGCAGCCCAACGACAGGAAGAATGCAAGTGCTCCCTCGGTTGAGGCCCTGTCGCTGCCTACCAGCCCTGGAGGCCAAGCCCAGAGACACAGCGGGAGACACAGCAGGGACTCAGGATAGGTGCATAGGCAGGGAGAATATGGAGAAGAAAAGGAAGGGGAGAGAAGAGGTGAGGAAGGCAAGGGAAGGGAGGAGGGGGGAAGCATAAAGCACAAGAGAGATGGACGGGGCAGGACGGAGGGATGGGGGGCCTCAAGCCTCTAGGCCTCTAGGCCTCCACTATGCCTGGGTTTTCAGGACAAACCTAAATGTAAGCCCCTTGGTTTACTCTATTACTGGGGTTCAAAGGTCCATCAAGAGACCGGTTGGGCACCACTCTCTGAAGACTTATCACTTTGCACGGTCTTTCTCCTTATTAAAGGCCTCTGTTGGCACCAGAAAAAAAAATCCCCAGCTGGCATAATTTCCATATGGTTTTCTTAGTGAAAGTAATAATGAAAGGGGATCCTTGTATCTTTACCTTACATATTTTTCCCTTAGAATGTCACTGCCCTTTACATTCTTAATTTAACAGGACTTCTTTTTTTTTTTTTTTTTTTTTTCTGCATTTTAGGGAAGGGCCTACAGGGTGTCCAGGTCTCACTACTAGGTCAGACTTGCTGTGATTTTCCTGTTTACTGCCTCCCAAGTGCTGGGATTACAGGCGTGTGCCAACACGTCCAATTTCAATTGCCGTCTCAGCGCGCCCTGGGGGCGGGGCCAACACCAGGGTATTGAACCCCTACCCCTGCGCCTGTTTGCAGGCGCTTTAATCCGCTGAGCTATTTGGCCAGCCCTAACAGGATTCCTTTAAGTTCTTCCCTAATTCTCTAAATCTTACTAAAATGTACATATTCCATTTTAATTGAATGCCAGAGACCATGTTAGAATAGTGATTAATCATCTGATTCTTGCCATAGTCAGAGATCACCAGGGACCCGGATTCTCAAAAATCATAAAGGTCCTCCCAGATCAATTTGGTAAGCTTGCCTTCACCACACTACACACAGGCAGCCACACTTTCTGTCATTGTGTGGTAACATCCCTCTGAAGCACCCTCTTCACAGCCTTAGCTACATCCTTACTCCACAGAATGTAAATCTGAGGACTCAGAGTGGGAGTAATGATGCTATACAGTACAGACCAATTTTGTCTTTCAGTGGAATACACTGGGGGCTAGGCCTCATGCATGAGAAGACACACGCTCAAAGCCAGAGCAAAACCACAGTGAGGTGACAGCTTTGAAAGAAATGTCATTTTCCCCCCTTGATCACTTTGGCTGAGCTCTGGCTACAGTAGATACAGTAGTTATGTGAAACTTTTGTAGCATGAAGAAAAAAATGTAATTTTCCTATTTGTTGCCAAATCATCTAGTGGGAAACCTAACATTTCCTTGGAAATGAGCCTTCTTAATTTATTCAGGTATAACTTGGCACTCAGAAAAAGAAAACAAAACCACATTATTTTGTAGAGACTTTATGGGCAAGAAAGAACTATGAGGAAAGGGGATTCTGTCCAGAAGCATACATGTAGCACATTCTCCAACAGAAATACCTAAAGGACTCAAGAAAAGAAATATGATACTTACATTCAACTTATCCGCTGAATTACATTCTGTTGTAAACTTCCCTTTTCCTGCTACTCTTAAATCACCATTAAAACTCTATTGCTTTGCTGGGCAGTACTAAGAGCAATAAGCTGTAAAAGCAGAGACTTGGTCCTGCATTTAACTTGCTGCTGTGCCAAAGACCATGTACCAGAGACTATGAGAACTAAGCAGAAATTAGAGCTACCATGGTCAAAGGGACACAGCCATGAAATTGCAGTCACCTTTCCCACGATGTGGTTGAATAATTGAACAAATCTCATCCCGACATTAAGGGACTTTGGGTTATGTATACTTGTTTTCTCATAGTCAAAGTTTCTACAGCTACAGAACTGGGTAGCATGCTCAGGGTATAGGACTTTGAAGTTGCAGGGAGCACAGAACTTGGAGCCTAACAGATAAGCAGAGTAACTGAGATCTCATGGAAAGAACATTGTCTTTAGCCACAGGAACACCATTGGTAGTAAGCGGTATTTATTGAACATGGCAAGGGAGAGGCATGGTTTGTGGATGCTTCTGCTCAGTAACTCTTTTTTTTTTTTTCAGACCAGAAATTGAACTCAGGACCTTGCACTTGCCAGGCAGCTTCTTGTGCCCCTGAGCTATCTTTCTGGCCCTGCTCAGTGATTCTTGAACCAAGCCGATGAAAACTGTGATGAATTATCACCAGATAATTCTAGTGAGAAGGCATAATCAAGAATTCTTGAAGATAATGCTTTCAACTGCCTGGTCCACCATGGGCCTTGCACAGCCTTCACCAGCCTCTAATTTGTCCCCGATGTGAATCCTCACTCAATGGATGTTTTGAAGATGACCCAAACGTAAGGTTTTCTACAGATGAGCTGGGTATCTTTACGAGTCTGCCAAGTAGGGATCAGGCAAAAGCTGAGATATTTCCTACATGAGGAAATAAATAAATGGAAAGGCAGGAAGTGCAACACAGTGGTGCTCTCATCCTCATTCTCTGGAAGGAGCGGTCCAATGGACAGAGAAGGCACTGAGAGATGTGTTCTGGAGAGTGGTCAGACTACATCTGCCTGGAAAATGATTGTCTATTTTGTAACCTGTGTAAGCTACACTTCCCAGAAGGATGAGAGACCTACTCTGGGTGGAGATTACTGGACAGAGACATTAGGGCAGGAAGGGAAAGGGTGGTTAGGGTTCTTCTCACCTGCTTCTCAAAACTACTCTTTTGTTTCCACCACTGCCAAGTTATTGGTGGGTTCCTTCCTTTTTGTGGAGCTCTCTGAAGTTGAAAAGCAATTAAAAGAGGAAAGTCGGTGCTTCTGGATCTTCCACAATTTCACCAAACCCAGAAGCACAAGCTCCAAAAGAGTAAACAAAAGACACAGCCCACTAACCCCAAACATGGTCTTTAGAAAGATGGTCTTCTCTGAGGGACGGGACAGATTACAGGTTATGCTGCCAAGGCAAGGTTCTCGACGACAGGAAAAGGAACTGGGCACCTTGAACCCATAGAGATGGTACTGCCCCCCCAAGGCTGCCCCTTCAAGGACCACTCGAGCCCCTAATTGCACCACATAGGCCCAGAGGATCTTGCGGCTTCCAGCCCCTGAGTCGTCTCTACAGCCATCCCTTTTATGGATCAAGGTCTCTTCCTCCTTCACCTTTCCTGGTTCTTCCCAGTGTTCAATCACATGACACACAGTGAACCCCACATAGAGGACACTGGGTACAGCCATGAGGATGACTTGGAAGGCCCAGAATCGCAGTGGAGAAAGGGGGTGGGAAGCATCATAGCAGGCAGCTTTGCAGCCTGGCTGCTGGGTGTGACACACAAATTCACTCTGATCATCACTGTAGACCCCAGGTCCACTGGCAGCTAGCAGAGCAAGGCGGAATCCCAGGAGCACAGGAAGCAGGAAGCGCCCCACGGGGGTGGAGCACTGGCTCTCTTGAGCCAACAGGTGATTCAGGAACCTGATACACATCCTGTTAGGGAGCAGAGAAAAATGATCAGTGTGTGTTGCTAACTGCTCTTATGAGCGAACTCTAGGCCACCTTATCCCTGCTAGCCCAACGATCCATAAAGCCTTTTTCCCCCTTCTCCAAAGACCTGGTTGATCAAATATTATATTAGCTTCATTTTCTTAAAATGAATTACCTGAGGCAGTTAACTTTGTAAAGAAAAATGGTTTATTTAGCTCACAGTTTTGGAGGTTCAAAGTGTAAAGGGTATAGAACAGGCTCACAAAGTCACCCACTGAATACACCACTTCAAGGCTTGGACATCAAGCAAGAGCAAGGAACATATCTTGGAGCAAATGCTCTCATCTCCAGCCCCCTTGATCTCTCCTTCAAGAGCATGTTCTCAAAGCCTAAAGACCTCCTGTTAATCCCAACCTCTTAAAAGTCCACAGCACCTCCAAATAACTCACCCAGGAGACCTGACTCTTTGAAGAACACTCATTCTGACTATAGCAAATCTCAAGACAGTGCACCTACTTATTAGTTAATGGAGTAGTAGTGAATCGTGTAGGAGACTCTCAATCAGTATCTCTCTTTCCTTCTCCCCCTCTTTTCATCTCCTTGCTCCCACCTCCTGCCTCTCACTTCTGTATTGCCAAAATGAAGAAATTTCAGCAAAGAATCTCTTTGCCCTTTTTACCCTCTACCCCTCTTGCCCTTTCCCAAAGACTAACGTTAATAGTGCAGGATAGTACTTATTTCTGCCCTTATTTGTTGCTCCCCAGGTGATGGCTGCTACATCTGGTGGCACTGACAGTGTCACCTTAGCCAAATCATTGCTAATGCTGAGAACATCTATTCCATTGCTTTCTGCTCCTCTCCTTTGCCCCACACCCAGGTGCTCCCACCTTGGTGATAAGACTGAGATGTGGTTACATTTGCAGGTTCAGTGGGATTGGGATGAAATAAACAGGGAGAGATCAAGGGCACATTAGTCTGATACACTCTAGGCCTTACCAGCTTAGGATTGCAAAAACATATTGAAGGAAACATAGCAAAATTTGCCATCACTACATGCTCTTGTGTTTGAGGCTAAAACCAGAGATGATAGAATAGAAATTCAATTTTTTACTCCCTTTTGCCACGGTTTTCTGGGTGTATATCTACCTCACAGTGAGCGATGATCACAGTTCAAGACAAGTTTCAGAAATTCCTCAGTTCCACCACCAAAATTCCATCACTTTTCAAACCCAACTTTTCCATCTTTGTCTCTGTCCTAGCCAACAGCCTTCCGCAATGCCCAACAGCTATTTTTAACCATCTCTAAACCCAAACACAAATCCTTACTCACTTGGCTTTTCTTGATTTCAAAGACCAAGTGCTATGGTCTGAATGTCCTCCTAAAATCTATATGTTGGAACTTAATAACCAATAAGGTGGCATTAAGAGGTGGAGCCTTTAGATCATGAGGACAGACTCCATCAATAAGATTAATGCCATTATTAAAGAGGCTTGAGTGACTGAGGAGACAGCTCAGTGGTTCTAAATGCCTGCCTGGCCAGCACAAGGACCCAGGTTTGATCCCTGGTACCACATGCCATGCTGATCCCAGAATCCCAGATAGTCTGTGCTGGCTACTAAAAACTGGGTGTGTTGGTGCATGCCTGTAATCCCAGCACTGGGGAGGCTGAGACAGGAGGATCATCACAAGTCCAAGCTTCATAGTGAGACCTTGTACCAAATAAATAAAAGATATTTTTAAAGTGATGAGACCAAGATTCTTCAGCAAAGAGTCTCTTTGTCTTTTTTACCCTCTATCCCTCTCACCTTTTACCAAAGACTAACAGTGATAGTCTGCTAGTCTATTAAAAGGTTTTCAAGGGACCTTTATAAGGTAATTAATTGACAAGAGAAATGTGCCACTATCAGCTGTGATGGAATTACATTTTGAACCCCTAGAGGTCAGACTTCCCTCGGTTTCTATCTTTCCATTTCTTTCATATATATGATAAATATATCTCAGAAGCATATCAGCCCACTGAAATTCCTCCATAAAAATGAGTTAAACCAGCTATTCCTCTACTGG